GGGGCCCGTTCCGCCGGGAGGGGAAACTGGGGCGGCGGGCCAAGGGGGCGGGGCGCCCCAGAGCACGCGGGAACGCCCCCCGGCTTGGGCACTCCCGGACAATAGGGGGGGGGAACGTGGCGTGGGGCAGAGGGGAGCGAGGAGGGGCGAGGCGACACAGGACGAGCGCGCGCGTGCGCGCACGTGGGCGGGCGGCGGGCGGCGGGCACGCACCTGGAAGGGCACGAGAGGCACGAGAGGCCCCAGAGTCGAGTGCTGCACCGAGTTGACGTTGGCGCCGTGCTCGAGCAGGAGAGCCGCCGGCGGCGCGAAGTGCAGTCGGTCAGCCGGCGCCGGTCCATCGCATGCCGCTGGCGCCGGGCCGTGCGATCAGTCGAGTGAAGGGTTGGCTAGCCTTGCCGTTCAAGATGAAGCCCGCCATGTCGGCATCGGCTGCTGCACGTTGAAGGAACTGGGCGGCCGAGCCGACGACGGGCACGATCCGCTTGCTCTCCTTGTGCTGCAGCCACGGTAGCTCGCGCAGCATCCGCCAGCCGTCCTTGCAAAGGTAGCCAACGACGCCTCGCGAACCCTCGCCGACCAGCTCGAGCATGTTGTTGTAGGTCGGTTTGGTGTTCTTGCCGAACATCTGCGACAGCGCGGACCTGCCCGCGACCACGTGGACGACGCCCGCCGAGTCCACGAGCGTCCATGATGGCTCCAGCGCCATGATCGACGCGGATCTTCGAGGTGTTCACGCGGATCTTCGAGGTGTTCAGCGGCGGTGGAAATGACTTTCCTCATCAGCGAACCTCCGCCCAGCAAAAACTCAGGACCCGCTGACGGTGACAATCGTTGTCTGCGACGCGGGCGCCTTGCGGGCAGAGCCCTTAGCCACCCTTTTATCTTGCGCGGTCAATATAGTCATTCTTTCTTTGATCTTTCCTTTTCCCAGTGCGCGAATCCAGAACTTAGAATACACGCGTGGCACGCTGCCGGTCATTGGCGGCCGGAGAGCAGCGCCTCGGCGCCGGTGGCGCGCGCCTCGCACATGAGCGGCCAGCCGAGGATGCCCTGCACCCACGGCGGCGGCGCCCCGCCCGCCGCGAACTCCGCGGCGGCCGCCGGCTCGTACTCTACAAACTCGCCCACAGAGAGGGCTCGCTCGGCCGGAGGCACCCCCCTCGAGACGGCGAGCGAGGCGAGGTCGAGCCGCCAGACCGCCTTCTCCTCGAGGTCGACGAGCGTGCCGGTGCCGCTGCTCGCGTCGAAGCCGGAGCACCAGCCGAGCCGCCGCCCGCGCGCGGCGGCCGCGTCGCTGTGCAGCCGGGCGGCGGGAAGCGCGACCGACAGCTCGACGGGCGGAGCCTCGTCGAGGAGGCGCACGGCCTCCACCTGCGTGAGCAGCCCGTACGGCGCGCCCGCCGCCGACGCCAGCTCGCCCGTCACCTTGAGGTACTCCTCGTCGACGTACGACTGCAGCTTTGCGCGCCTCTCCCCGCGCCGCCGCACACGCTCGGCGGCGCGGTCGGCCGCATACCCCTCCTCGGCGCTGAGGACGTCCGCGTCCACGGGCGCGGCCCGGGTCGCGAGCTCCGCGGGTGGATCCAGAGGCCGCCTCTGCGATGCTGCCGGCGCCGCGGCGGCCGGCGGCGCTGGCGTGGCGGCGGCCGGAGGCGATGGCGTGGCGGCTGACGCGGTGGCGGCCGGCGGCGCGGCTGGAGCGGCCGACGCGCGGCGCGGCCCTCTCCTTGGCGCGTCGATGATGCCCTGCGCAGACAGCTCGATCCGGCGGACGAGGTCCGCCTTCTTTCCGCTCACCTTGAGCCCCTTCGCCTTGCAGACCGCCTTGAGCTCGTAGACCTTGAGCTCGGCGAGCGTCTTGCCTGCCGCCGCCGAGGCGACGACGGGAAGCGGCACGCGGCGGGTGGCGGGGAGAACGCGCGCCAGCGGCGGCGCGAGCGCGAGCGCCGCGACGAGGCACACCAGCATATCAAGAGAGGGCGCGAGCCCAGCAAAAGAAAAGCGGGTCCAAAGCGCGCCAAACGAGGGGGTGGGAGAAGACTGCTGGATCCCCACCTGCACGGCAGGATCTTGGAAGGACGATCAGGGACAAAGGGGAACGGGAACGGGGAGCGCATCGCGCCGACACGGAGGGGCTGGGCGCCTGGGCGGCGCGCTGTTTCGTTTGTTTGCGCTGGAGCCGGTGGGAGAAGGACTGGATCCCCACCTGCATACTCGAGTAACGGGATGGAAAGGACGATCAAGGACACAGGGGAACGGGAGCGGGGAGCGCATCGCGACACGGAGCTCGGAGCGGCGTCGGAGGGGGCTGGGCGGGAAAGAAAGAAAGAAAACACACGAACAAGAGAGGATGGGAGCGTCGGGTCGAAGTCGTCTTCTCTAGAGAATACGACCCCCTTCTGATGTCGACCGCGCCCCCGCGGGGGCTCGGCGAAGAAAGAAAGAAAGAAACAAGAAGGCAAGCGAGGGAAAGAGGCGTGCCACAGGGACTTTAAGGAGAGGAGTGTGGTGCTAGCCGTCGCCCACCCTTGGGCGTCTGCCTCTTCCTCTCTCTTCGCAGTTTGGTTCTCTCTCCAGTTTGGCCGAACGGGGAATTCATCCCGTCCGGATGTTTATCTTGCTGCTGGAGCGGCCCGCGTCGGCTGTGTGAGCAAGAGCCACCGCTCACTGGGTCTGCCCGATGCTCTCGGTCGAGAAGAACGTCTACATGGCCCGGCTGGCCGAGCAGGCGGAGCGGTACGAGGAGATGTGCGCCCACATGAAGGAGGTCGCGCTCGAGATGGAGCCGCTCGGGATCGACGAGCGCAACCTGCTCGCGGTCGCGTTCAAGAACGTGACGGGCGCGCGGCGGTCGGCGCTGCGCACGATCGTGGGCATCGAGCAGCGCGAGCGCGAGCTGCTGCACGCCGGCGACCGCGGCGCGGCGCGGCGGCTGCGGCACGCCGAGGCGTACCGCCGGCGGGTCGAGGCGGAGCTCGATGAGGTGAGCGGCGTCGTGCTCGGGCTGATCGACTCGCGGCTCGTGCCCTCGAACCCGGGGCTGCGCACGCAGCAGGAGCAGGAGGACGCGGAGGCGCAGGTCTTCTACCAGAAGATGCGCGCCGACTACCACCGCTACAAGGCCGAGGCGGGCTCGGCTGAGGAGCATGCGGCGCTGGCCGAGGCGAGCTACCGCGCGGCGTCCAAGGTGGCGCAGACCGGGCTGGCGCCGACCCACCCGGTCCGCCTCGGGCTCGCGCTCAACTACGCCGTCTTCCTGTACGAGGTGCCGCAGCACTCAACCGAGGCATGCGAGCGCGCAAAGCAGGCCATCGACGACGCGATCGCCGAGCTTGACTGTGCGGCGAGCCTCGACGCGGCGTCGTACCGCGACTCGACGCTCATCATGCAGCGGCTGCGGGACAACCTCGTCCTGTGGGGCCGCGAGGGCGGCGCCGGCGCGCGCGCGGAGGGTGCCACTTTGCACTTAGCGCGGGGTCCGCTCACGTAAAGCCGTAAGTATCGCGAGTACATACAACATACGCACGAACACTACAGACTGTACCGGGAGGTCGCGGCCCGCGCGAGTGCCCTATTGCCTATATTTCGTAAAAGTCGAAGTGCTCCAAAAGAGAACCAGAAGACGCTTCTGAAAAATGGGGGGCCGGGGGGGGAGGAGCGGGCAAGACCAATAGTGAATAGATGTAATGCCCACACTCTTGTGCCCACTGCCCAGCTGCCCACTCTGCCACACACTCGCACTCCGGAGGATATACGCAAGTCGCAAGTCGCCCGCGAATTCACGACAGCCACAAAGAACCCTGCACAAAGATCGCACGGGTGAGGACCTGTTTCCTTTTACCCATCTCACAGTAGAGGTGTCCGTTTTTTCATTTATTTACGCATGGAGCGCGTCGTAGTACTGTCCCTTGTTTGTGCTCTTTGACCCACGCCAGCCTTTGGTTTTACCGGTCGCAAAGACGAGCGGGCCCTGTGACTTGTGGCCGCGCTCTTGCACCCAAGAAACCTTTTGAGCAAGGTTTGGTCGAGGGTGCCGCCGAAACCAGATTTGTGGCTCGGCCCAGTCAGTCAGTTGTGACGCAAGCATCCGTCCGCCCGCCGTGTGAGAGCCTTGCCGTGTGCCGCCGAGCCCTGCCCAGCCTGCCTCGTCTTTGTGAGGGCGCTGGGGGCTAGGCACGTTGACTTCTAGTGGACATCGCGCTGGGACTGCAGGTCCTAAGCTACAGGTCCCCGCCGATCTCACACATGTCTGACGTGCCCCTCGTTGAGTCCAGGGGGGGTGGGACCTAGCTAGGGTGGGACATTCATTGAGACCGGTCATGAATGAGTGCGCGACACGCATGTTGCGAGCAGCGTTGTTGATGTTTTCGCGCGTCGCCATTCACAGCCTTGTTATTTAGAAGAAAATACGTCCGCTCGCGCTGAGGAAGGTTGAGGTGCGAGGGGTGGCCTGGGGATTCTGCAAGTCCCATGGACATGCGGCATAAGTTCAACAGCACTCACGGTGAGCATGCTCGTCTCATTCGCACTCACAGCACTCACAGGCGCGCTCTCGCTTCGTACACCCTCCTCATGCTGCCGCCAGCGAAGCCGACCAGTCACGCTGCAGCTCGATCCGCAACGTGTGGACGCGATCCGGCGTCTGTTCTATGCGGGAACGCCGGCGAGCGATGATGAAGTGGCGGCCCAGCCTGGGCTGATTCCTGATCTCCCGATCGCACGATGGTCGATGATCTTCTTACCTCATCAGCAGACGATGTTGAACGTCCACCGTCCACAGTACACCCTCATGTTTGAGACGCTGCTCTCAACAGAGCCGCCGTGGCTGTATCTGCACGCTCAGCTTCCGGAGCCGAGCATCGAGAATCTCGGCAACGAGGAGTATGCGCTGCCGAAGGAGTACGGCGGCGCCCATGGGCCAAAGGCTTCGTTGATCGGAACACTCATGCACGTAGTGGACGTCGAACGGTGCAAGGACGGAAGGCTCGAGCTACTCGCTCAGGGCATCGGACGCGCTGCCGTGCTGCGAGAGACCCAGTCGGTGCCGTATGCGCGGGCGGACGTGCAGTGGCTGCCAGATGCAGAGACGCTGCTCTCGTGTGAGGCCAGACGCATAGACTGGAACCGGAGCCAATTTCTGGGCGAAGCCGCCCTCGACTTGCTAGGACTGTCTGCACGAAAGCGGTTGCAGATGGCGTTGGCTCTCGCAGAGGAGCGGAGCTGGCGAGCGTACGAGCACGAAACGACGTATCCGATCCAGCTGGCAATCTCGTCGGGAATGTATCCCGCCTTCTGTCCTTTCGATACCTCCGCCGCGGAGCTGGCAGTCCGCGGCGCGCCGCTCGCGCTCTCGGCAGCTCTTGAGGCGGCCGCCGCCTTAGATGGCATGCAGGAGGGAGAGCCAAGCTCATCGCACGCAGAGTTGGGCGGCGGCGCGGCGTTCACGATGAGTCATGCCCGCTCTGCGGCGGTGCGGCGTGCGTTTGAGGCGTGCGAAGCTATGCTCGAAGTCTCGGATGACGCAATGCAGGCCGAGGCCGAGAGCGAGCGCGCGCTGCAAGACCTGGAACTCCAGGTGTGGCTCGAGCTGGACGGCTTCCTCCGGCGGTTTGCTGCCAACCGGGCCACGCTGATCGGCGGCACCGGAGCACCCGCGCCAAAGCAGCTGCTCGGTTTGCTGCCTCCGCCTCCCGAGAGCGGCTGGCCAGACGACTTTATGCTCGATACCGTTGCCGCTGACTTGCGCAAGGCCGCCACCAGGCGCCGCTCGCAGACCACGCTCAGCTACCAGAATGACCCCGCGCCGTTCATCCCAGCGCATCGCCACTACCCGTTGCGTCGGCGTGCGCAGCGGCTGAGCTACTCGATTTGGATTGTGCTCAAGGAACCAGGGCTGGACCTACAGCCTTTACTCGACACGGAGAGCACCACAGACAGGCTACGCATGGTGCTTCTCCGGCTTCGCGAGCTGCTCGCGCGAGAGGAGAGCGGCAGTTAGCAGTAGAGTCTTCATTCAAAGAGTTGCCTTGACCCAACATAGAGGGCGTTGTGGGCCTAGCTTTTGGGTAATATACAGTGGGTTGCGGGCATTAAGAAAACAGAATTTGGCGGCACGCCGCCGTTTCTAAGCCTTTCCACAGCCCTCACCCACCCCACGCCGTGGTTTCTTAGCTCCGGCCGGCACTCAGGCCAGAGCCGGCCCCCTAAGGATTTTAGGTAAGAGGTAGCTGCTAGCTGCGGGGTCCGCGAGGGCGATGCCAGAGAGTCTGCCGCCGAGTCGGCTCTCTGGATGACGGGAAGACGCACACACGCCTCCATCTCCACTCCACTCAGAACACCGTAGACTTGGAAAGTGACAAGTGCGCGCGCCGCAGGCGAAGAGAAATTTTGAGCTGGGGCCGCTCCCGTTCACACTCGAGACTCGTGTCTGGCTGGCCTTTTCTCGGGGCCGCGCCTGCGGCGCCGTGGTTTCTTAGATTTTTGCGGAAATCTCTTGGTAGGGTTTCTTAATGCGACGTTTTCTTAACCCCTAAACGGCGTTCCTTTACATATGTAAAGGAACTCATTGTTATTTTATTCCTTTGCAGGACGGCTGGTCGGAGCGACGGCCGATCCAGCAGTCGTCTGCGACATGGCAGTGGCCCCGGGTCATGTGCAGCTGGTCCCGAGCGGCTCAGGTCCCAGATCGAATCTCGGACCCACAGATTCTAGATTCCTTTAGATTCCCTGGATTCCCGCAACAGCGATCTCTTAGCGGCGGCAAACAGAGGCGCAACTCTGCCAGCAGCGAGGAGGCTCCTGCTGCTCAGCTACCGAGGCCTGGTGGCGTCGGCTGCTGCGTGGAGAAGACAGCAGCACTGTCCGACCTCAAAACATGCACAACAAGCGGGATTTGTGACTCTGTCTTCGATTCTTCAGTCGCTCTGCCGGACGCGCTCGCTTTGTCGCGAGGGTCACCTGTGCAAGCCGTGTGGACGCCCAGAATAGCCTCCCCTGGCTTAGCTAGACTGAGAGATATTGTGCACATGGTCAGCCTCTACAATATATACGCTGACACTTTACCTCCCAGAGCTCGTCTCGGTCCGCCACGGCCATCCTCAGCCTCCGGGCCCCTGGCCGCGGCGCGGTGCGGCGGCGTCACAAATCCGACGTCAGTTCACCGGGACGCGATCGGGCGATCTGAAGTCCAACTAGGCGTATGGATTGCCCGCCCAGGGCTATCACCTGGACCCCTCAATGGACGCCTGCGGTGCCGCCCCCACGAGGTGTTGTTCACACCTGTCCAACCATTCGTGCAGCAGGGACGCGCTGTGTGTGGCTGGCAGCAAACTCAAATGACGACGGGTTGCAGCCTCGTAGCTCAACGGCAACATTGTGCATGAGGAAGGCTGATAGAAGTAGCACCAGCCACACAACCAACAGCTTCTGGAGAGTATGCGGAGCGCAAGCAGCCGGTGATCAAAGGCGTGTGTTGCTGTCGGTGGCAGATTGCCACAGGGACGCCGGCGCTTCGGTGCGTGGCTTCGTCACAATTTTCCACCGCTCAACTTGGAGGCAGTGTGTCTAGTAGCGTGCTACACCTATGACGGCGGACCTCACTGGGGCGCCGACGTGCGACGACCGTCTGGGATCGAAAGACGAAACCGCGTCCTCCAGGAGGAGCTCGTGCAGTCTGCAGAGCGCGCTCCGGAGCTCTGTGGCGGAAAATTTAAAGGGAACGTGGTGGCTTCCCACCGCCTCTGTATGTGCCCAATAAAGTGCTAACACGACCCTCGGGCAGCAGGGGGTATGTGGCGAGCGCACGGAGGCACAGTTAGGCCGCCGTGATATCGCCCTTCCGGGCACCCCGTTTTTCGGTAGCCGTTTAGGGGTTAATGCCCGCAACCCACTGTATAAAAGAGTTGCTAGTCCCGCGCTCACTTGTCGTTAATATGCACACTGGAACTTTAAAATGTGGAACCTTTAATGTGATTGAGCTAAAGGTAAAGTGCGGTAACGGCTCTAACAAACTTGTACGTTATGTAGCCCTTCAGGACCCCCCCCCCCTCGGACGCCCACTGGGGCCTCACAAAGTCACACGTGACGCCCCGTCGTATATATCACGGGCGTAGGTTGACCGTTGTTCGCCATTCTCTCACATCCTGTATGGGCTATGGCGCCCCCGGTATTTAAAGCCGTACGGGGATTTAGACGCTAACGAGAAGTCCTGACCACGTGGGTCTAGTCGCCGTCTCGCCGACCACCCACAAAGAACCCTACACAAAGATCGCACGACGGGCAGGGACCTGTTCCTTTTTACCCATCTCCTAGTAGAGGTGTCCGATTTATTTATTCTGTGTTTGGGTTTCTATGTTTGCGATTTGGAATTTGGCTTTCGTCTGTTCTTTGTTTATTTATTTCCACGTGTGGGTCGGGAATCGTGTGTGAAATGTGCCATTGAGCATTGTGGTGGAAGTCATCGCGTTGACATCCCTGGTCTGGACGATTCTTTTCGCGGTATCCGCGGCGGGATATGGCGGGATATGGCGGGATACCGGGAGATACCGGGAGATACCAGGAGATACACGTGGATATGATGAGATACGGAGCGCCCACGATGTGTTCACGACAACGTCCGTGAAGCGTGAGACCGCAAATCGGACGCGACGGGCGCGAAACTTCGCGCCTCGACCGGCCGTGATCTGCCGTGCGGCTAAGCGCTCGATTCCCATGATTGAGGACAAGAAGGCGAAGAGAAGTTTCTTTTTTGCTCGCGCTCTCTGCGCGGCCGGAGCGCGGAGAGGCGTGAGGCGGGCAGGATACGGCGGGATACGGCGGGATAACGGATATGGCGGGATATGGCGGGATATAGCGGGATATGGCGGGATATGGCGGGATATGGCGGGATACGGTCAGATATGGAGAGATACATCAAGATACCGCAAAAGAATTAACCCAGACAGGGCTGTTGACATGTTCGGCAAAGGTAAGGGGGGCAAGGGAGGCAAGAGCGGGCCGCAAAGGCAAAGGCAAGGACGGGCCGCCTCTCGACCTCGATGTCTTCCAGGACCGAGGAGGCGGTCGACGCATCCGTCGCCGTGATTCAGGGCCCGCCACCACCCGTCTCATTTGACGATGCACTGCACAACGTTCTTACGACTCCCCACCCAGTCGATGCGGCTGAGGTCCAGGCCATCTGTGCCTCAATCGCGTCACTCATACTTGCGGCGGGCGACTCGGCCGAGAGCTGGAAGCTGTTGACGTTGGCTCTGACCCAGCGCCGATTCCACGCACGCCCCGTCTGAACACACGTTACTAGAGGGAGGGACCGTGAGTTGAGGAAATCGGAGGACGCGACCCACTTCGCCACAGACGGTCCCGCGCCTCGCCGCTATGACGGGGACACACCCCGCACCGTCCGCTGTGTCCCCGTCTTTGTCCGGAGTGAAAAGTCCAACGCGCTCGTCGGTGACGGCTTCCTCCAACCTGCGCCGCGCTCGGCGAACCTCGACAGCGCTTTCGGTGGCATGCAGCTCTTTGCGCCTGAAGCCTGGAGAGCAGCTCCTCGGCTGCTCACACACTCTGCACAGTTGACACAGCCTATTGTGCGGCTGCCACAGCTGTGACAGCGATGGGCTCGCCCTCACTGGCCCTCAGTCACTTGTGCTGCGGCTTGTGTGAGCGACACTGCTCGGGCCTCGGCGACTGCCGGCACACTGTGAGACCATGGGTGTGAGGTAAAACCACGCTACCAGCGCTTGGTCACATCCTCTCTTTTCCTCTCTATTTCCCCGGGGAAACCATCAAATTTTCCGGGCTCTTCTGAGCCGAGTCTGAGGCTGGTTTGGGCCCAAAATAAGCCAAATCGGCAAAATACCGGGTATTTTGCGGGTATACCTGGAAAAACCCGGGCATACCTGGAAAATACCCTGCGACCGCCTGGGTATCGTGCCGATTTCCTCAATTTTGCCTCAGATTTTGCCCCAGACCAGCTCTCAGACTCAGGGAAACTCGCGAGTTTCCAGAATGGAGCACCAAACACCCTCTGTTTTCCCTGGAAATTTCCGGAAACGCAAAGTGCTGGGGGCCCTCTGTTTTCCTTTTTGTTTGCCGGAAAAGCTTGTGCTGGCCAAAACACACGTGTCCCTCCATTCACACTCTCCCAGTCCTTCCTCCCTGGTCTAGTGCCCGTGTGTTCTCCGCCCGCCGTGCACCGCACAGGGATTTTAAGGAGAGGGGTGTGGTCGGATCGGAGGAGTCCGCCGGCGACACCGCTTCTCTTTTTCTTTACATGTTAAAAATGGTTCGACCAACAAGGAAGAAGGCACGCACGGGACGTAAAAGCGATCTCCGGCAAGGGCGGGCAGTCCGCCGCTAAAGTTTGGGGGCGCGCTCTGCTTTGCAACTGACCACGATGGACATTTTCGCGGAGAATCCGGCTGACATGTTTCCGGAGAACAACCATGCCGAGAGCGGCGACGACGTCCTCGCATCCATGTTCCCCGAAATCGAGAGGGACGTGCTCCGGCAGCTGCTCGACTTCCACGAGGGCTCGGTCGAGCGGACTGTTGACGCGCTCCTAGGGGAGGGGGCGGACGCCGAGTGCTCTCAAGATGCCGAGATCGCACGCCGAATGTCGGAGGAGTTTGACGCCGAGGCCATCGCCGAGGCGCAAGCCCAGGTCTCTGCTGAGCTCCGGGCAGCAGAGGCGGTCCGGCGGCCGCTTGGCAACCGCACAGCGGCAGCAGCCAAGCAGCTTCTGGAGCGTCTCCGAGCCGGGGGGCTTAGCCAGCAGCGCGGCGAAAGGCTGAGCGCCGCCCTCCTCAGCACTCACGAGTCGCAGGGCATGGCGCCCCTCCCGATGTCGGACGACCTGCCGGCTGACTCTCTCACCGGCCCGTATGACCCGACCGATCCGGCCGACCTATACAGCGCGCGCCTGTCGCGTGCGCGCGAGTCAAACCGCTCCTCGCGCGAGGAGCGAGCCCTGGCCCTCTGATCAGGGCTCGCCGGCGCGCAGGGCTCTGGTCACCGGTCAATGCTCGGTCGGCTTTTCCCGCCACCGCTGCTTACGGTTGGCGTGGCGACAAAAAGAAAGGGAGCTCCGTGCGAGCTGTGTGGACTCGTAGGACTAGGGACGAAGTCTCGCGAAGTGCCTTTGCAACGCAGTGCCTCGTTTCCATACCCAGGACACGAGAGATGGCAGCGGTCTGTGTGCTGTGTCCTCATCAGCAGTCAACAGTCGTCGCTCACCACGTCTGTCACACTTCTGTGCATTTAAATTTTCGGACTTTGAACCGCCGTAAAAGCATTGAGCTTGACCGCCGCCGCGCAACGGAGAGCGGCGTGCGGAGACTACCGCGTACCGGTACCGCCAAAACCCAAAATGTGAGACTGAAAAGACGAGAAGGAGGCCCTTTCTTTTTCCTAGGTAAAAGACAACTCAAGCCAAAGATTTTTGTCAGTCGAAGCGATTTTTCCTTTTTTTCTCGCGATACCAGGTAGTGGCATCGCGCGGGTGACGGATGCGGCCGCCGATGGCGAAGGCTGAGGCGAGCATGACACAGGCTAGCCTCGTCGGTGTTGGTGCTGGCACCACCGCAAAATTCTCGGCCGCCGAATGGCATCGTCGCCGACGGTCCCAGATCCTCGCCGCGCACCCGGAGGTGCGTGAGCTGGCTTCCGAGAGGGACGAGTGGGTCTCTGCGCTGGGCCTCCTGCTGCTGCCTTGGTACGGGTCGGTGCTCCTCCACTCGCCCGACATGCCGCCGCTCGAGCTTTGCCTGAACGCCTTTGGTGTGGGCAGCCTCCGAGCGAATTGGGCAATCTATTGCGGACATGCCATCTCGCACGGGCGCTGGCGCCGGCTCGCCGGCCCGTTTGGCACCGCGCGCTTCAACGCGCTGCTCGCAGGCGTCAACGTCGGGCACGTCTTCCAGGTCGTCCCGAGCTACTGGCTGCTGCACCACTCTCACCACACGCGGCTCGGCTCGCTGCCGCTCCTCGAGGCGCGCGAGCGGGCGAGGCGCGGCCGTCAGACGGACGGCGACCTGGGCATCGCCACGAGGCTCTTCTCGCCTCCGGCGCGCAAGTACAGACTCGTCCTCGACCGCAGCGGAGCCGAGCTACCACGGCAGGGCGAGGGCGAGCACCAGCTCCTCAACCTGCTCGTGCACGCCGCCGCACCGCTCGCCTTTGCGGGCTACGTGGCGGCGGCGCTGCGCGCGGACGACGGCGAGGGCGCCAGCGCGGCGCTGCGGCGCAGCCTCGCCCTGCAGGCGGGTGCGCAGCTCGCCTGCTACATCTGCGTCGCCGCCTACTGCTCCCTGGCGCACTCGGCCGCGCCGCTCGCCTTCTACCTCGGCTCGTCCGCTGTGTGGCTCTCGCCGCTCAACCCGAACTGGGTGTGGACGTGCCCGCACGTGTGCAGGCCGCCGCCGCCGCCGCCGCCGCCGCCGCCGCCGCCGCAGCAGCAGCAGCAGCAGCAGCAGCAGCAGCAGCCGCAGCCGCAGCAGCAGCAGCAGCAGCAGCAGCGCGGCGAGGGCGGTGGAGGTGGCGGGGGCGGCGAGGGCGGCGGGGGCGAGCATCGGCAGGCTGCGGAGGCCATGGAGGCGCCGCCGCTCCCGCTCCCGCAGCCGACCGTCTCCTTCTACACGCCGCGGAACGCTGCGGGCGCAGCGCTGGACGCGTACCTCGGCTTCGAGAATTACCATGTCGAGCACCACGACTTTCCCGAGATGCCGATGTACCTCCTGCCGAGGCTGCGCCAGATCGCGCCAGAGGCGTACGACTCGCTGCGGGCCATGCCCATCCTCGAGCCGGCCACGTGGGCCGAGCTGCTGACGGGAGACTTCTTCTACGCCTGCCAGGACAGGACTCTGCTGGGGCGCGAGAGGCGAGCAGGCGAAGGCAGCGATGAACGCTCTTGAGAGAGCGCTAACCCGCTCCAGGTTACCTCGCGGCGTGGGTCGAAATCCAGGGGAAATTACATGTGGAAACGGGAAGGTGGAAGAGGCTTCCAGTGGCACTGCGGCGGCAGTGGAACAACGCGAAATATGTATATGAGCCCCCGCGCCCCGGGATCTCGTCTGGTTCTTAAAATCCGCCTCTCGTTTTTTCTGCCGCGTGCACCCGCATTTTTGTTCCCATAATGTCATAAGCCGCCGCTCGCAGCGCGCCGCTTGACGGCTTCGTACACGCAAAAGAAGAGGAGGCCGGAGGGCGCGTACTGCGCCGCCCGCAAGCCGGCGCCGCGCATGAGAGCCGTCGGCCCTCCCTCCTCCGCCGCCACCCTGCTGATCGCGTCGACCACGCCAGAGAGGTTCGCCGCAGCGCCCGAGGCGGTGAAGATGCGCTGCGTCTGCAGCCGCGTGTTGACGAGGTCGAGCGGCGTCGTGAGCAGCGCGGTGAGCGCGCCGGCCGCGGCGCCTGCTCGCGGGAGGCGGGGTGTGAACAGACGCTGTTCACGCCCGCGCCGGGAGCGGCTCTGGAGCCGCGCGCCCGAGAGCGCCTCTGTCGCTGGCAGTCTAGCCGGGCGCAGCGCGGAGGCGGCGAGCGCGTAGAGGCCGAAGTGGAGCGCGTTGTACGGCACGTTGCGAGCGAGCGTGGAGCCGAAGCCGCGGTACAGGCCGGCGACGCCCTCGAGCCTACCGCACCGGCAGCGTCCCTGAACCTTCTCGGAACCTTCGCGGCGCAAGCACCTCCTATCGTGCTCCTCTCGGCGTATCTCGGCGCCTCAGCGTCGACGCGAGGGCGAGGCGAGGCGTGGTGTAGCCTCGCACCTGCAGCAGCGCGGGTCAGTGTGGAGGGGCCAGCAGCTGGGCGCGGTGCTATCACCGCGTGTGGAGGGGCCTGCAGCTGGACGCGGTGCTTGAGGCCCTCGAAGGGCACGCCGACCTGCGGCACGGGGGTGCGAGGTGTTGAGTCTCCTCCTCCTCGTCACCACCCATGCCCTAACTCGTGTTCATCCCCGCCCTGCAGTGGTGGTACCCCGGGGGGGGGCGAGAGGTGTGAGCACGCTCGCTGCTCGGTGCAGTGTGCTCTCACGGGAGCACGACGGACCAGCGCGTCAGTACGAGGGAAGACAGCCCACGTGCTGCCTCGAGCGCTAGGGTGGACACTACAGGAACATCCGCATCTACGCCCGCCGGCCGCCGCCGCCGCCACCGCGCCGCACGTGCCAGCACACACCTGGGCGGTCGAGGCGGCGGGGTGTGACGTACGAGTTAGAAGCACGCAGCGGGGTGCCTCCCGACTCTGCTGGTGTGGAGGTGCAGTGTCTCCTTTGTGGCCGGTGGGAGGAAGGCGTTCGGGTGGCACGGCTCAGAACCCCAGCGCAGCACTCCCCAGGACGAGGCGAGGAGCCTCGGTCGGAGAGAAGATTAGCATTGTGCGCGGCTCATCACTGCCGTGCGCACCGGCGAAGAGCGAGCCGCCAGACAGGCAGAGGGGGTGGGCGGGAGGCGGGTGAGATCTTTCTGGGCGCGCCTTGACCAGCGCCGCAGAGATAGCGAACCGCGCGAGAGCAGCCTCGCACAGGTAGAAGGCGGTGTGAAAGAGCAACGCGTACGGCAGCATACCAAGGGTTGCCAGCACACTCCCAGCGTAGACGTCGCGGATCGCCGCCGGCCTCGCTCCCTCAAGCGTCTCGCGAGGCACAAGGAGCGGCCGCCCCACCTCTCGGCGTGTGACGAGTGTGTCCAGAGGGTAGAACGCCAGCGTCTTTGCTGCGCCGGCCGTTATGCCGGCGGTGATCTCCGTCGCGAGAGGGTGCATTCTTGGTGGACGTCTTGCTACTCGGAGAAGCGGAGCGGGGTGGCAGGAGTGGCGAGCTGGAGCTCCCTAAAAAAGACCGCGACGCCCATGTTTTCTTTCTTTCTTTCTTTAAAAGCACTACCCCGGGCCCGAAATCGCACGAAGCAAAGTCACAGTTTTTTGTCAGTGTATGTGGCTCTTACGTACATTCCCGTAGTTTGTGTTTTGATAGGCGTCACAAGGATCAAGGTCACGGACCGTGTGTCGGTCGGGCGGGGTGTCGTGAGTGAGACCGCGGGGCTGGGGTCTTCCCACAGGCAGGGATGTGAGTGTCCCACATGAGCGCAAACTTGCAAGGACGCACGTCAACTCGCACGTCGCCAAGGAAGTCAAGCAGCCTTCCATCAAGCGAAACCATGGGCGCCTGCAGCTCCAAGTCGGTCAACGACACCATCACCGAGCCGGTGAAGCCGGAGCAGATCGACACTCCCGTAGACGCCACCATCGTCGACGCCACGCCCGACATCGCTCCCACCGAGACGCCCGCCGACGCGGCGCCCTCTGATTACGCAAAGCCCGAGGCGGAGGTGGCGGTGGCTGAGGAGCCCGCGGCGGTGGCTGAGGAGCCGATCGCTGAGGAGGCACCTGCCGCGGCAATTCAGGATGTGCCGCCGCCCGAGCCGACCAAGTCGGCCTCCCTTGTGGACAAGCTTGTCGGCTATCTCTCTGGCCAAAAGTCTGAGCCTGCTGTCGAGGAGACCGAGGCGGTCGAGACGTCTGAAGCCGCGCCGCCGGTGGAGGCGGCGGAGGAGGCTGTCGAGGCGCCTGAGGAGTCGAGTCCGGCGGCGGCGGTGCGGCCCGAGGCGGTGCCGGAGCCCGCGGCCGAGGCCGCTCCTGAGGCTGCGCCCGAGGCGGCGGTTGAGGAGGCGCCCGCGGTCGCTCCCGAGGAGGAGGAGAAGCCGACGCTGGTCCAGAAGCTGTCCAAGGCCTTCTCTAACATCCTGCCCGCTGCGCCGAAGTGCATGCCCTCCCGCCCCGAGCTTAACGAGGAGCCGACCGACGCCCCGGCAACGGCCGCGCCCGCGTGACCGGTGATCGCATAGCGGTTGCGGCTCAAGTACAGGTCGGTCTCGTCCGGTTTGAGCGTATGTTGAGTGATACGAAGGTTTTAAACACAAACGAACGAGATACTGCGAGAGAGGAGCTCAGTCGCGCCGCGCGCGCCAGTCGCGCAGTACTCGATATCCAGGAGGTTTTTTACCTCGACGAGATTGTAGCGGATCTCCCTGGGGTGTGGACGATTTTTTTCGCGGTATCCGCGGCGGGTTAAGGCGGGATATGGCAGGATATGGCGGGATATGGCGGGATATGGCGGGATATGGCGGGATATGGCGGGATACCGGGAGATACCGGGAGATACCGGGAGATACACCAGGAGATACGAGATACGGGCAGATACGGGCAGACGCGATGCGGGAGATACGGGCAGATGCGAGCAGATGCAAGGAGATACGGGGAGATACGGTCAGATATTGGAGCGATGCATCAAGATACCGCAAAAAATCGTCCGCACCAGAGGGCTTAGCGGGGGGGGCGCGCCGGAGGCTGATGACCTGATTACAGGTGTTCATGATGGATACCGGGGATAAGTACGGGTCATGTTCTGCTCCTGCTCTGTGGCCTCTCCTGGCTGCGGTCTCGCCTCACTCAGGCAGTGAATGTTTTAGCATTTAGCATTCACATATGTCATATGTTGGTGAATGAGAGACACCAGAGGGGCTCGGTCATGCTACTCGTATGTGCTGACTCTCACGCGTCACGCCCCTCCGTTGATGCGGGCTGTCTCTCAAAGGTGCCGCATCTCAAAGGATTGCTATATTAACCCTGGTAGGTTGATTGTCCAAAATACGTCAGCCTCGCACGCCTAGGCCCTAGCGCTAGGTCTGACACCCGACCGCCCCCCCCTCCCTAATTAATATTGGCGGTAAGAGCACTTTTTTGGCCGGCTACTTGCAATGTTAGGGAGGCGAGGCCGAAAAACGCATACTTTTGTCCACCTACCAAAGCGCAAAGGCACCGCCTCGGTATACAAAATGCGCCTGCGGGCCTACCAATACAGATCACCTACCAAGGTTAAAAATCCCGCCGCGGCCTCGCTGGGCCAGAAATCGGCCCGCGAGTGCTCCGCAGCAGCCTCGCTGGGCCAGAACGTCGGCCCGCGAGGTAGGTGGATGGATGCTAGGAGGAGCCCGATGGCGATGCGTCGCAGTGCTCTTGCGTTTCGGCGGTAGTGATCTGATCACCCGAATACCACGTTCGGATCGCTCCTCATCGCAAACCCCGTCAGCAGTCCTCCTCCGGGAATGTACAGACGTGCGTAAAAACTCGGGCCGAGCAAGCATTTCGGCGGCGGTGAACGGACGTCGGTGGCCGGTCCTCCCCCAGCATGTCGCTTCGCACAGCGTGGGACGCGTTCGTCTCTGCTAACACCGTGCAGGACGCCATAAGTTCCCACGATCACCTTACCAAGGAGTGCGGTGTTGGCTCTGCCGACTTCGCTGCACTGCACAAGGCGCTCTCTGCGAGCAGCATTCCCTACCGCTCAAAACAGCTCATCAATCTGCTACTCGAGAGCAACGCTCGTCGCCCGTGCGCCGAGAACCCACTCGATGTCGTGGTCTCTGGCGCTGGGCCCTGCGGCCTGCGGGGGGCGGTCGAGCTCGCGATGTGCGGACACCGCGTCACGGTGCTCGAGAAACGTGTGGACTTCTCGCGAGTCAATATCCTGATGCTGTGGAAGCAAACCGCGAACGACCTCCTCAGTTTAGGAGCCAAGGCCTACTTTCCTACCTTCAACGACAAGGCCGACATTATCCATATGGGCACCCGCTCCATTCAGCTCACGCTGCTAAAGAACGCCCTCCTCATGGGCGTATCCTTCTCATATGGCGCCGAGCTGGTTGCTGTCCAGGCACCTGCGACGTCGAGCGGGAAGTGGCGAGCATTGGGAAAGCCTGCCGGAATCCCTGCCGCGGCGCACGCCGCAGGCGCCGTCGGCTTCAAGCAGTGCAAGTTGGGCGCGTACGAGCGGGAAAAGCACGAGGGAAGGTGCTTGTAGTAGTTTGACGAAGGGGTGTGTATCCGCATCTAGGAGCTTGCAGTTGGAACCAGGGAGATGTATTCCGCATCTAGGAGCTTGCAGTTGGAACCAGGGAGATATATTCCGCATCTCGGTGTTTGCAGTTGGAACCAGGGAGATGAACCCCGCATCTAGGTGCAACATGACACAACGCAACTCGTTGGACGCGACATTCGCCCTCTCGGCTGACGTGACGTTGCCAGGCGGCCTGGTATTCCTGCCCTTTGACGCGCTGCTCATTGCAGAAGGCGAGTGGAGCAACAGCTGCAACCGGCTGGGCATCGACAAGGCCGTCAACGTCTTCTCCCAGGCCATCGGACTGATCATCAATATGAACTACGACGCGAAGGACGCTGCAGAGAGACAGCTGCGGGATCGCGTCGTGCGACCCAACGATGACGGCGAGCACAAGAGGATCGTTGACGATCTAAAGAAGGCGGGCGTCGACTTTGAATTCATCGAGTACCTCAAGGGTGAGACGCACTACATCGTCGTCACGATCACCAAGGCGTCGCTGCTGGGTCTGGGCGCGCTCCGGGCCGACCTACCACGCGAGCGCCTGCTCGAGAGGAGCAACGTGGACGAGGAGAAGCTGCTCGGCGCGGCCCGCACCGTCGCCACTATCTTTGGCCTCCCTGCCGAGAGCTCCTTTTGCGACTTCCACCCCGTGAAGCTCTTTGACTTTAGCTCGCGCGCCAAGGCGCTATGCGGCTACAAGGTCCTCGGCGTCTGCACCGGCGGCTCTCAGCAGGGACAGGTGTGTGTGCCTGCAATCACCCGCCGTGCGGAGGCTCTAGTTGACTTAGGAGGTGGAGGTGCAATTGCCTCCGCCGCTTCGCGAAGAGCATCGCCCCACCCCTCCTCAGGTTTCGAGTCTCGACATCGAGGCGCACGATGAGCTTGGAATCGCAGAGGCGGCCTATTTTGAGCGAGCCCTGCCGGAGCTGCGCGCGACCGCGATGGAGCTGCAGGAGGCGACCGACGACGACGGCAGGAGTCGGCTCACCGAGCGCACGCGTCTGGCCAAGCTCGAGCGACTGCACCAGGCGCGTGCGGACATTGCGGCGCTGGAGGAGGCCCAGCGCGCCTTCAAGGAGCGCGTGGAAATCAAGAGAGGCCTCACCTCGCTGGTTCCCGTATTTCCCGTGGGCGATTCGCTGCTCGAGCCGTTCTGGCCGCAAGGGCTCGGCTCGAATCGCGGGTTCCACTCCGCGCTCGATGCTGCTTGGGCGGTGCACGTGCTGTCTGTGCAGGGTCTGCAGGCTTCGCTCCTCGAGCGGAATTTTGCTTACGACCTGATGATGCAGATGAACTGGTTTAGCAAGTAAACAAAGCACGAGGACGGGGGCATAGCTCGCTCTCCGCTCTGAGTCGATGTGTGACGCACCTAGGTACATCAAGAAGGGTGAGGCGTGGCGCACGGACCCCCTCTACCGCTACAGCCACTCGCAGATCCTCGAGACTATTGGGCAGTACACGGACCCTCTTGCCAAGCGGCTATACCGGGGAACGGATGCCGTCCCAGCTCGCATAGCGAGTGCGGGGCTGAAGAATGACGTGAACATGCTGGTGGGAGGAGCCGATTGCGGCGAGTACGACCCGCCTGCGGGGCTGGTTGATCTGATTAGTATGAAAATCTAGGACGAGCCAAAACTCTCGAAACAAAACACTCAGCGTGAGCGAGCGGACACGCAGCCCCACCGCCGCGCACCGCACGAGGTGTGATGGGAGATACGGAGATTGCGGCGAGAGCCGAGACCGAACCGTACTCTCATTGACGCACATGTCTCATACTGAGCTCTGTCCTCTGAGCCACTGAGGCGGCACGCCGATACACCGCATTTGAACAGGTGAGCGCACAAAATTCTTTTTCTCAGACCAAGCGTCACCCCACACGCAACCGGGCAGAACGATATGCCGCACGTCACACTCCGTCTCGAGGTCGCCTCCGCCGCTGCACCGCTCAGCCACACCACTCCACCCGCGCCCAAGATCAGCTCGTCGGCACCTCCGCACGTTGACTTGCTGCGGATCTGGCTGCTCGTTCTCGGCGTCTTCCTGTGTACTGTCAGCCTGGCGGCTGCCGATGGCGCGCGAATTCCGCAGCCAGAGGCACAGGTCGCGCCGCGGCTCGCGCTGCCGCTCTGGCTCGCGCGTCGAGCCAAGCCGCCTCCCCCTCCGCCGCCGCTGCCGCCGCCCGAACGCGCGTCGAGTGCCGTCGGCCTGACTGGCGCGCTGCTGCTGCTAGTGGGCGCTCGAGCTCCGAAATCCACACGCCGCCAGGTGGCCCTGGTGCTGGTGGTGTGGGGCACGCTGCACGCTGTCTTGGCGGCGCGGTTCTCCGCCGACGACGCCCACGCCTCTGGCCGGCTCCGCTTCCACTACAGCGTCGCTCTGATCTCGGCTGCGTGCTTGCACATCGCTGGAGGCAGCGTGGCCGACGAAGCAGCGGGCGAGCCGCCAACCCCTGCGGAGGCGTGGGAGCAGGAGCTCCGCGGATCGGAGCACAGATATGGGCGCTCGTGACGCCGGCGCGAGAGGCCCGTGAACCGTCGTCCTACGGTTGGTGTATCTCGGTCTCTCCACGGTCGGCATCGGCCGGCGCGCTGACGCTCGTGTGTGTGCTACACGTGGGCCTGCGGGTTTCTTTCAGTGTAAAACCACAATCCAAGAATCCTCCTGAATGGCTCGCACTAACGCTGGCATGCGCGTTCGGATCGCGGCTCTCGAGGCTGCCGCCGCCAATGTCAAGCCCTTGGCGCGGGCGCGCTCGACGCTTCCATGGCGGAGCGGGTGGCCCAGGTGGGCTATACGATGTCGTCTTTGGAACATTCGTTCCGCCGGGCGGCAGCCGCGCGTCAGAAGATTGCGGCTGCGCGCCCCGCCGACGACGCCGTCCTAGGCGGCGCGGTCATGTTGGAGCTTGACGCGCTGGAGCATGTTCTGTCCTACCTCCCGCCCAAGGACATGGCCGCTGCCGTATAACCGGCACTTCCAGCAGGCCGTTCGACGCGCCGCGCCGGCGCGGGCGGCAGCCCTCGGCTTCGAGCTCGCCGAGAGAGAGAAGCTGACTCTGGAGCTGCTCTCGCGGATGGAGCGCGAGAAGAGGGAAGCGCCAGGCCTGCTCCAGCATGCCGACCTCTCTTCCCTCACCCGGCTGGGGTCGTTTCACTTCTCTGTGCTGCGCCCGCTCCTCGATGACGAGAAGCTGCTGACGCTGCTCAAAGAGGTTGTCAACAAAAAGCCGACAAAACGCGCATGGGCTGCCTGGCTGGTGGTCGTCCATGCAAACCCAGCACCTTCGTGGGCTGCTCGCAACAAGTCAATCATCGAGGCCGGCCTGCAGGCGACAGGCACCTTCGCGTCGGTTGCCGCTGTCATCACAAAAATGCCCGCCTCAATCGCCGAGGAGCACGTCGATAGCCTCGGCGCGGCTCTGTCGGTGCTCCTCGCAGGGCTCGCAGGCTCTTACTACTTACTCGTCTGTGCTGGAGCGAGTTCTGGGGCTGCTTGCAAAGATGCGCCCTCAGACCCTCGCGCGAGTCCGCGCTGGGCTCGACGCTTGCCGCCGCGACTGCGTGGGGAAGGACGACGACCGTTTTGCCACCGCCGCGAGACTGGCGCGCGAGCTTGTCAACAGGGCAGACTCTGTGGCCCCGCAGTAGGCCGCCCACGTGGAGGCCTGAGTCGAGCGCGTCGTAGTGGTGTTTCGACCCCGACGGGTCGACTTGGGTGGCTGAGTCCTGCGAGCGAGTTCTTTACCAGGTTGCAACCCTTGTTCCGCACTGTGCTGTGAACAGAGCACCAACCAACAGCTCTCAGGACCCCCCGGTGCTGGGGTGCTGCCAGCAACCAACCAAGTCGAGCGGAGCAGCGTCGTTCCGATGTTTCGGCGGGCACTTCTCACCTAAGTCCTTGTGGCGGGCCGCCAGGCCCGGAAGCAGATGCCGACGAGGATCAGACACGGCGCGCTATCTGGGCTCGGAGGTCGGCAAAAAGGTTGCGCAACCGACACCAGCGACCAGGATCGTCGATCGAGGTAGGTGCACGCTGCTGAAGCAGTGCACCTACATAGTGCGGGACCTGGGGCAGCAACCAACAACCTGGATGGGGACGGGGTGGGGGGGTGCTGCTCAACCGGCGGCAAACAGCAGCGTTCACAGCCGAGTGCGGAACAAGGGTTGCAACTTGGTAAAGAACTCGCTCGCTGTGATTTGGTGTATTGTGTGCGTCGCACGCGCGCGGGAATTCTTTTTCCGACGACGGCTTCTGGAAGACGGCTTCTATTAGAAGCCTTCGTCCGCGCTTTGCCTGTTGTGTGTATCTTTTGAAAAAGAAAGAAAGAAAACAGACAACCCAAGGGAGGGATGGGAGGACGGCACGCCGCCACCACACAGGGATTTTAAGGAGAGGAGTGTGATGCGCTAGCCGTCGCCCACCCTAGGGAGTCTGCCTCTTCCTATCTCTTTTCGCAGTCTCTCGCCGATTCTCGCTGCAACCTTCATGCCACCTCGCGGCCGTCCCACTCTCGTCTTTTGAAAGAAAGAAAGAAAGAAAACAGACAACCCAAGGGAGTCTCGTCTTTTGAGCTTTTTCGCAGTACTTGGAGCACTTGGAGTGCAGTCGGCAGCCTCACATCCAGGGCCGGGGAGCTTAGAAGCGCACCCAGCGGGCCGGATGATCGGGATCGGGCTACGGGCTAGAGAGCCCTGACCCCTAGCTAGGGGGGGTGCGCATTCGCAGGGCAAGGGCCTTAAGGTAAACACGGGTCTCCGAGGGTTAGTTCCGTGTACCGGGTTTCCCCTTAACTGCAGAACGCCCCCTCTACTCGGAGCTAACGGACACACAACACTGTACTCCACGCACGTACACGGACACGCCTCATGTGCGCCCGCCCGACTCCGGTCCCAGGGTCCCTTCCTTCGCCCGTCAGGGCGAGCCCTCGCCTCGTGCCGGTCCCTACGCGACAGGAATTCTTTATCCACGTGGCCGCAGCAAATGCCGCCACTGCTCCACGTACGGCTCCTCGCGCTTGCCAGCCTGCTCGCACCTTGCCCTGCAGACGAGCTGCCGCCGGTCGAGGCCATCGAAGCGTGGGCGCATGAGCAGGGCTTGCTGAGCCGCTCGCTGCGGCTCTCGGACAGCACCGAGACGGGAGTTGGTGTGGTTGCTGCCGCCGACATACCCGCGGGCGCACTGCTGGTGCGATCGCCTGCTCCGCTGTGCGTGACGGCGGCCCGGGCACGGGCAGACCCGGGTGTGGGTCCGCTGCTGCTGCGGGCTGAAGCCACTGGCCCGGCGGTCGACGACAACGTCGCGATGGCCGCCTTCTTGATGCGTGCAGTGGATGTGCCGCCGCCAGAGCTTGCGCCGTGGATCCGCGCGCTACCCGCCTCGTTCGACCTGCCTCTCACCTGGTCCGAGCCAGAGCTGCTGCAGCTGCAGGCCTCGCCCGCCAGGCTGAGAGCTGAGGCGCTGCGGCGCTGGTCGAGGGCCGAGTACGCGAGGATCTTTGGTGCGTGGAGTGAGCCGCTGGACTTCGAGGGCAGCCTTTCGCGCTGGACGTGGGCGCTGTCCGCGGTCTGGTCTCGCTCCTTCATGCTCGGCGCGGTCGAGGGGAGCTGGCGAGTCCTCGCGCCAGTCGCAGACCTCCTCAACCACGCCTCGCACGTTGAGGGAGCGGGCGAGGCGGAGCAGGGGTCGGAGCAGGGGCTGGAGCTGGGCCGGTCCACGCCACCCGCCGCGAAGATGGAGCTGCACGCGCGGGGCGACTCGCCGCGGCACTGGCACTCGGCGGCGGGGGCGGCGGGGGCAGGGGGCGAGTCTTACGAGTCGCTGCCTCTGTCGGACGAGGCCTTGACTCTGGTGGCGACGAGGGAGGTGTCTGCGGGCGAGGAGGTGCATATCCTCCTTCTTCAGCTCCGAGATGAGCGAGATCGAGCCGAGATTGAGCCGAGATGACCAGAGACGACCCGAGACGACCCGAGATTGAGCATAGCTGCCCCGAGATGCCCCGAGATGTCACGAGATCGCCTCCCCGAGGTGCTGCTCGACTACGGCCCTCGCTCCTTTAATTCATTTAATTATTTAATGTATTTAATTAATTGTATTACCAGGTGCTGCTCGACTACGGCCCTCGCTGCTTTAATTCATTTAATTATTTTTATTACCAGGTGCTGCTCGACTACGGCCCTCGCTCCAACGCGCAGCTCCTCAACACACACGGCTTCGCCCTCCCGACGACGGCGCAAGAGCCTCCCGCGCCCAGCTCGGAGTTGGGCGAGAGACTCGACAGTCCGCGGGTCACCGGCTAGGCGCACGAGCAGCTCCAGCTCGAGCTACGCCCGCCTGCCGACGACCCGCTCGCGCCGCTCAAGGTCCGCATCCTCGAGGCCGGCAACCTGACCTCCCCGTACTCGCTTGGCCGCTCCTCCCTCTCCTCCGACTCGGACCTGCTCGTCGCCCTGCGCGTGCTCGCTGCGACGCGCGACGAGCTCGCCGGCTCCTCCGCCAGCGGGAGGAAGAGGCTTGTCCGCCGGCTCTCCTTGAGCCTTCTCGGGCCTTGCCTAGGCTCCGAGCAGACGGGCGACAAGGGGCGCGGCTACGCGAGGGCGTTCGAGGGGTCGCCCATCTCGCAAGGGAACGAGCTGCGCTGGCAGGAGATGCTCGCGCGCCGGCTGAGGCCCCTGCTCGAGGAGCGGGAGGCTAGATGCGGAATGAGAAGCGGTCTCCATGCGACGCGGGTCCATGCACTCGAGCGCTGCGACGCGCATCATCCGAGTGTACTCGACTGTGCGCACGCCGTATCCCCCTGCACCAGCAGCCCGTGCCTTCACACGCATAGGCGTTGGGTGCATTCACGCGTAGGAGCGGGGCGCCCTCCCCACCACCCCAGCTCACCCGAGGTTGCACCGAGGGGTAGGAGCGGGAGGCCCTCTCCACCGGCCTGGAGGACGCCGCCCTCCTCGGCGCGAGCGACGCAGCGCGGCTCGGGGCGCCGCTGGCGGCTGGCGCTGCTCAAAGAAGCCGCGGCCATCTCGAGCTTGGCTCGCGCCGTCGGCTGGCGGTGGTGACGCGCGCCAGCGAGAAGCTGATGCTGCGGCAGCTGCTCGCCGAGCTGGAGGGGAGGAGGAGGGCCTCCGACCGCGCGCTCGCCGCGGCCAGGGCAGCCTTGGTAGCCGACAAGAGTGAGCTCTGACCTCACACGCGGTACACATGTGCTCATGCAGTACGTGGCACATCCGTGTCAGAGGGCTCGCTGTGAGCACATGGTTGTGAGAGAGCATCCCGCCCGTTTGTTCTCTCTTGGGAGCTGTGTGTGTGTGTGCGCCGCGGGTCGAGATCCGGTCACCGTGACGCGGTGCGCGGTCTGACTCTAGTTTGTCAGCATACCCCGTGCGCGGACGACGAAACACTCTCTCATACATGATTGTACTTTCAAGCGCCACAAGCGGTCAAGCAGGCGGCTGGGCCGCGGCCCGCAGATGGTCCAGCAAGTTGACCGCGACGACGGTGCAGGCACCGCCCTCGTCGATGTCTACAATATTGACTGCCGTGTTGCCCTGCGCCACTTGCGAGGCACGCGAGACGTCTCCCCGCAGCGCCGCGAGCAAGATCTTGTTGAAGCGCCCGTGTGCCACGAGGCAGACGTGCCTCGGGCACGACGGCACACCCGCACCTCCAGCGGCGGCGGCGAGGGGCGGCAGCGCTCCCAGCTCTCGCAGCCCCTTCAGCGCGCGCGCCGCAACCTCCTCCGGCGACTCGCCGCCGCCTGGCAGGCGCACGCTCGTGCGGCCCGCCTCCCACTCGGCCAGCCGCGCCTCATACTCCTCGCGGCGCGGCGAGCCGCCGCGCAGCTCCTCTCCCTCGAGCGAGCCAAAGTTCATCTCGTTGAAGCTCGCGTCGACCAGCCGCCTCGCTCCCGGGTGCAGCGCGGCGACCGCGTCCGCCGTCGAAGACGCTCGTCCGAGCGCGGACGATGCCACCAGGCCGATCGGGACGTCGGCCAGGATCGCCGCGAGCGCCGCCGCCTGACTGCGGCCGTTTGGGTTCAGAGGAATGTCCGTCATGCCCTGAACGCGCCCGGCGACGTTCCAGTCCGTCTCGCCATGGCGACAGAGGTACAGGCGGCGCGAGCCGGGCGCCAGTCCCGGCACCGCGAGCCGGTGAGGGTCGCCGTCGCCGCTGCTCCGCCTCGCGCCGCCGGCCGTCGTCGTGAACTCGGCTGCTCGCGCACGAGGGAGAAGGCCCTGAGGCAAGGTGAGGACGGCCAGCGAGCGGGCTAGGACCGCGCGGCGCGCGGGCGACATACACCACGGGTGAATCGGGTTCTTTTTCAGTCAATGGGGTTCTTTTTCAGTGTATGAGCTGCTGCTGCTGCTGGCTGGCTGGGAACGAACATCCCGTGCGCGACGCGGAGGTTTCTCTTCTTCCTCTCTGATTGTCATCTCGGCCAGTCTCGGCAGGCAGCGCTCAGCGCCATTTGCAATAGGAACCATGACGGTGGCTCTCCTCGCGCTGGGAGTCACGATTGGCTCAAAGCCGGTGGTCGACTACTCGTCCTCCGCCTCCTGCCGCCGGCTTCAGAAGCCGGAGAAGCAGGCGATCGCGATGCCGTTCGAACAGCCCAAGGTTGACGAGGTCGCTTCGGAGCTCCAGAACTGGTTCACGTGCGCGGAGCCCGTGGATGACGTTGATATGACCTGCTTCCTCGCGCCCGACTGGATGGTGGAGGAGGGCATCGGCGACGACAAGTACGTATGCTCGGACACGCCGGCGCTCGCCGCTGCCTTCCTCGGTGACAATGGCGCGCTCTCTCCCGACGACAGCTACTAGGCTGCTGGCCTGCATGGGCCTCGCCGTCCAGCGGGTATGATTCGATCTCCCGCAGGGCACTGTGCTTGTGCCATAGCGTGCGACGCGTGACACACGGGCCGATGCTCGGATGTTAGCGCGCGCGAGAGAGCGGAGTGTGGTGATTGGCCATGGCGAGCGCGTCTCGTTCGAGACGTTCCGAGAGAGAGAGCGCGGGCGCGGCGTCGGGTCTCAGCGCGAGTCGCTCGCGACGAAGGGACTCGATATTAGCCGATTCTACCCAAAATAATCGAGAACCCGAGAACGACGCGCCTCCGGCGGGCCCTCCGCCTGCCGCCTGGCGCCTGCGGCTGCGCTCGTGAGTCGTGTCTGCTCTGTCATAGCTCATAGCAGTGTCATAGACCTAGGGGCGTGTCAGCACTCCATGCACTGATACGCCCATGGCCGCTCCTCGAGAAAACGGTCGAGCACCTGCGGGCGGTGCGGACGTGTGCGCGGGCCGGTGGCGGCGGCGGTACGGGCGGCGGCGGTGCGGGCGGCGGCGTCGCCTCTCTCAGCGCGAGATTCGGGACGACGGAGCTCATCGAGAGGGGCTTGCCCGAGACGGGGTCGCAGCCTACGGCGGTGAGTCGGCTGCGTTCGCCGCGCGGCAGGAACACACGCGCTGCGATACGTCTTGAACGCTGTCGAGAAGCTTGCCGTGAGCAGCTGCTCGCGTACCTGTTGTCTGTCCGCATCTAGGCTTCGCCGCCAGAGGACCCGCGCGCCTCGAGGTGGCGCTGCAGGCAGGCGCGGTCGTAGGTGATGCCTGCGGGGCGGCGGGGTGGACGCGTCGCGGGCGTGGCCTTTGCTTGGTCGGGAGACGGCGGCTCGCTGCGCGTGCACCGCACGGCGTGATGACGGGGTCGAGCAGCAAGTCCATGCAGATCTGGCAGGTGAGGTAGTCGGGCAGGCTCTGCCGCGGGAGGCCGTGCGTCTCCTCGAGCCAGCCCACCGCGCGCGTGGCCGTCTCGACCACCGCCGCCCGCTCCTCCTCGCTGCCGAGGGACTGCCCCAGCGACGGCAGCTCGCGGCGGAGCGCCTTGATGGCGCGCCCGCCGGCGGGCGCCGCAGCCTCCCAGGCGCGCTTCCGAGCGCCGAGCAGAGCGGAGCGGATGTCGTCCTTGAAGGGGACGGTCTCCTCTTTGCACAGCGCGTGAGCGGTCGCCAGCGCCTCGATCCCCGACTGCCACTCCCCGAGCTCGACGTGCGCTCGGCCGAGGAAGTAGTGCGCCTTGATCCGCTCGCGCGTCGCCACGCTGCCCAGCGCCAATGCTGACGCGCAGTCGTCCGCCGCCGCGCGCCACGCGCCGCGCTTCATGTGGGCGTTGGCGCGATTCGTGTAGTAGACTGGCCGAGGACTCAGGCTGATGGCCTCGGTGTACGCCTCGACGGCCGCAGCGTACTTGCCCTTGGCGAAGGCCCTGTTGCCGAGCGTCTTTGCGTCCTCGGCGGAGGAGGACATCCTGATCGCGGTCCCGACGTCCTGCCGCCACGCCGCGTGTTAAGGTAATTAGCCGAGCTGGCGAGCCGCGTTCGTGCTTGGTACGACTGTGTAGGCCGCAAGCTTGGTACCGGCGACCGGCCCGCAAAAGGAAGAAAAACGCGGCCCCGCTGTTCGTATGAGCTACAGACACTAAAGAAAGAAACATCTCAAGCGTCCAAGAACCTACCAGCCAAAAAATCAGCAGTCCTCCTCCGGGACAGGAGGCGTCACTAACTCGCACACACACACACTCTCTCTCTCTCTCTCTCTCTCTCTCTCTCTCTCTCTCTCTCTCTCTCTCTCTCTCTCTCTCTCTCTCTCTCTCTCTCTCTCTCTCTCTCTCTCTCTCTCTCTCTCTCTCTCTCTCTCCTCTAACTCGTGTGAAGAGCACAGATGATGTAGTGAGTGAGTTGTCCCGGGCCCTGCGGGGAACTAAGTCGACGCAAGTTAGTCTGTGAGCTGGACGAGGGCTAGTTGGTGCGCGCGAGGCGGGTCAAGTGGTGAAGTGCTCCCGGGAGTCGTGGTCGGAGGCCGGGACACTACGCGCACTAACTTAGTGCGCGGAAGTGAGTACCTCCGGCCGGCCGGCACTTGAGCACTGGATAGGGTCGATTCCGCATGGTACGGGACCCCTCGATCGTCTCACTGGCTTGTTCATTGGGGGGGGGTCATAACAAACACGGTGCAGGATCGAGGTGCACGCTGCCAAAGCAGTGTCGTCCCCCCTCTCCCCGACGGCGATGGCGGTGTGACCGATCGAGCTACAAGAGGAACTTGTTCAGCAGGATCCGGGTAATTAGTCTGATGCACTGCCTCACTGGGTCTGAGATCACCGAGACGCCTCCCATCACCGTCTCGGGTTTGTGTGGAGTCGAACCACAGACTCCGGAATGGGCACCCCATTGTCTGATGCGTCTGATTAATTGTCAAAATTCCTGTTGTGCAAGAGAGGGGAGAGGGCTCTGACGGAGTGCGTGGCGGGAGAGAGGGCAGGGAATGGGCGCGGGGAAGGGGGGGGGGGGGGCTCAGCCGCGCAAAAAGCATCAATTAATAGTATTAATGAAGAAATATTGCTCGGCCGTTCATGAAGTCCGTCTTAGGCGCACTAACTTAGTGCGCGGAAGTGAGTGCCTCCCCCGCCACCCAGAGAGAGAGCCAGTAAGAGATCTTGTCTCCAGTAAGTAAAGCTAAAAGTACACACAACACTGAGAGAGAGAGACGCAAGCTCTCTCAACCCACAATCTCTCGCACAATCTCTCGAACCCAGTGTGCAGTGAGCGCGGCAGTGATGACTGCCCCACCTCCTCTCCGAAGATTCATTCACACCGGCTTCTCCGACTGCGCTGAGTGGTGCTGGTGGGCCCCCAAGGGCTTTATAGAAAGCGCGCCTCCCTCTCCCTTTCCTCCCAGTAAGCTAAAATTACACTGTCACTGAAAATACGTAAGAGCACTGAGCCCTGGCTGTCAGGCTGTCAGGTGCTGTCATGTGATCTGTCGGGCTGTCGGGCAGCTGTCAGGCACATTGTCAGGTGCCTCTGTCAGACCAGCTGTCAGGTGCTGTCAGTGCTGTCGGGTGCTGTCGGGTGCGTGTCTGACAGTCGAGGTGCTCTGTAGCTGTCGGGTGCTGTCGGAGCTGTCGGGTGTTGCTGTCAGACGCTGTCGGAGCTGTCAGAGCTGTCAGGCTGCTGCTGCTGTCAGACGTTGGGCTGTTGCTGTCAGGTGCTGTCAGGTGGTGCTGTCGGGGTGCTGTCAGGCTCTGACACACACCAGCCACACTTATGACACTATCAAGAGGAGACCAGCAGGACTCTACTACACATACTCTCAGCCTCTCCTCCTACACGGCGTGATCACGCCGGCGGCGGCGGCCGCCTGGGGAGCGCATATGGCGGCGCAGGCGCAGGCGGCGGCGGCGGCACAGACGGCGGCGGCCACCCCCACCCAGACGCCGTAGGCATATGACTGTAGGGCCCCAGAAGGCTAGCTGGTAGCTTCATTTGTAGTAGCACAGCCGCCGGTGCTAGAGAGGGGTCCCCGCAGACGCGCAGAGGTGTGGGACGGAAGGGTTGAGAGAGAGACCCATGACCATCCCATGACTACATGGACCACACTCACATGTCTTTGCATGTAATAGTTTTGTTATACCCTCATGGGGCACAAGAAAGAGGCTCTACGGGGTCTGACTGTGTACGGTCTGTGCTGCTGTCGGGCTGTCAGCGCTGCTGTCAGGCCACTGTGGCACTGTGTGCTGTCGGGCTGTCGGGCAGCTGTCAGGCTGTCACGTTAGGGCCTGACAGCGACGGAGCACCTCGACTGTCAGACTCTGCTGTCAGGCTGTCAGATACGTGTGCTGTCAGACTGTCGGAGAAAGTGCTGTCGGCGTTGTCAGGCTGTCGGGCACTGTCAGGCGCTGTCCGGGGTTTGCTGTCAGGCGGTCAGACCAGGGCTCAGTAAGAGCACACACTGAAAAGTTTGCTCGAAATGTCTAAAACACTAAAAAAGAAACGCGGGTTGGCGATGTCTCTCTCTCACACCACGTGACAAAACACCACGTGCTCCCAGAGCAGTCGGATCGGCTTGGCCACCCTTGCGCCTTGGGGTGCAGCTGCTTGCTGAGCCAGGACCCAGGTGGCCCAGAGGTCGCGACACTCGTGCTCGCACACCGTCACGGCACACTCGCCAGCTATGCGCCGAACCAAGTTTGTGTGCCCGATCCGACGAGCGACGTTGCACGTTGGCCAATCCTCGAGGCACGAGGGTGCGCTCGTGCGCACCCTCGCTCTTCGCGGATGCACTATTGAGTTTCATGCATGAACTCTTCAACACAACGCAGATGGAAAAAGAAAGAAAGAAAACAGACCGCGCAATTGGATTTTTGGGGGCGCGCCGCCAGGCGCGTCCCCACTTTTGTATCACAGCTGCGAGGGCCAACCAAGGGATTCGGCGCGTCAAGTTAACTTGACCGCTCGTTCGGGCTTTGGGCCGCAGGCCGGCGCGTCAGCGCCACGCCGCCAGGCGTCCGCCGGAGGCCCGCCGGAGGCTCTTCCTGCGGCCACATTCTGGCAAGATTCCGCCGCGCTCAGGCGCCCAGAGGATGCGTGCGCTGCGCTCAAACGTCGCGATTTGGCAATAGGCGCTCGAGCCGGCGCACAGCGGACGGGTGCGCCGCGCAGGGGGGGTCGGAGGGGTGCGAGAGGGGGCGTGGGTCGGGCGCGCACCGGCCGGCTCCGGGAGCGGCCGTCACGTCGAGGAGGGGGGCTGTCGGCGGCTCGAGCGGCGAGGCGTGCCACTCTGCTTCGCCGCCGACAGCCCCTCTTCCGAGCCGGCGCGTGGCGACGAGCCGCGGCCAGTGTCGCTGGTCCCTTTGGCGGCGCAGCGTGTATCCCCCCCACCCGCGCCCGCCCGCCCGCCCGCCCGCCCGCCCTCAGGCCTTGCCCCTTCGCAGGCGCGGGAGCGCTCGCCGGCGAGCACCTCCTACCTCTCCTCGCCCGGCTGCTCCCTTGCCCCGTCGCCCGCCGCGCCCTCGCCCGGCCGCCTCACCGCGCACCGCCGCCGCGCGTCCCCGCGCCGCCACGCTTGCCCCCACCTTGCCTCACGCGCGCTCTGTGGAGGGGCAGAGCGCGTGTCTCTGGCACAGACGGAGCAGCGACCGCGCCAGCGGTCGCTGCTCCGCCCCTCCGTCGCGCGCGCGTCGCTGCTCCGCCCCTCCGCCCTCGCCCCGCCCACCCAGTCCGCGGTCGCCCCGCGTCTCAACCAACACCCTTCCCGCGGCCACGCAGGGCCGTGTGGTGTGTCGCGACCCACTCTGATCTCTGTGAGTGAGGGGGACGGCGTGCGCGTGGTAAATAAATGAATAAAAACGGAGACCTCGTGAGGCGTGGCGCCGCACACACACAAGAGTGGCTCGCAGCCCTCCCTCCCGTCCTCACCTCCGGTGCACCACTGCACACCTCTCAGCGCACACCTTCGGGACTCACTCCGCAGCCATGCGCGAGGAGGAGGGACCTCCTGCCGCGCCTCCCTCCGGCTCTGCCGGCCGCGCGCGGCAGTGTGGGTTGCCATGCTGGCCGGGCACGCGGCCTGCCGCCGCGGCCGCGGCGTGCCGCTGCACCTTGCGCCGCTCGACATCGGCCTTTGCCTTGGCTTTCTTCCGGAGGGCCGCCTCGTCTGCGTCTTCCTCGTCTGCGCCCTCCTCCCCGTCCTCGCCCTCCTGCGCCACCGGCTGCTCCTCCGCCCACGGCGGCGGCGCGGAGTGCGCGGGCGCCGCGGGCGGCGCCGCGAACCACGGCCAGTCCGGCGGGAACGCGTCCTCGTCCTTGAGCATCACGGTGAAGATGTCGCCCGGCAGCTTGCCCGGCGGGATTGTGACCTCGAGCCTGTTCCCGCTGGGCGGTCGGACAAAGATGGTGTGCGCCGAGGAGGCGGTCTTCTCCGGCATCGCAAAGGTGTGAAACGACCACTCCGGTTTTTTTATGACGAGCTGCATGTGCTCCATCTGCAACGAGAGCCGGCAGAGCGACCGCTCGAGGCGCTCGAGTTCGGCGGCGAGGCCGCCGCCGCGGAGATCGCGAACTTTCGTCTCGAGCTCGTTGATCTTGAGCTGCTTCCAGTCGAGCTTTTGCTGCAGGTTCCGATTCTCAAGCTGCAGAGCCTGCAGGTCGCTGGAGGCTGCCATGCTGGTCGCTCTACCACCAGTGTCACGGCCAAAAAGAAATAGCTAAAAAAGAATTATCAAACCCACGGCGTGACTCGGCGAAAGCAGCAGGCGAGGCAGCATCATTGTGTCTGGGCAAGATTTGCTTCATGTCACAGTCGAGCGGGCCGCACGCCTGCGGCGGAGGTGGCGGCGGAGGATCGCCGCGACGACGCACTGCGCTCTCGGACGTCGGCAACACTCCTCCGCGCCCGCTCGGCGTTGGAGGCCGGCCCGGTGGCTCTCCCGTCTTGGAGCGCTGCCGTCAGCAATTCGCCGACGGTGGTGGCGCGGATGCGGTGGTGCCGCTGCCGCCGGGCGGAGTCGCTACCGTTTTCCCTCCGCCACCGCCGACCGGGCCGGCCGCTTCCGCTGCGGGGTTGCCGCCGCCGCCGCCGCAGCCGCCGCAGCCGCAGCCGCACGTCGACCCGCCTCCACTGCCGGCGGCGGCGGCCGCCGGCGCGACGACGAGGGACTTCTTTGGACTGGCCGCGAGGCAGGTCGCACGAGACGCGTACGAGCACGCGCAGGCGACCGGGGTGGTGACGAGCTCGGTCGCTTCCGACCGGCTCGATGAGGCCTCTCTCCGCTCGTGGGCCGCCGCGCTCTACCTGATGGAGGGCGGAGAGGAGACGCCGCCTCGCGCCGAGCGTCAGGGTCGCGCACGCTCGCCCCGTTTCGCTGCACGCCGGCGGTGCTTGCTCACCCCCCCCCCCCCCTTTCCCTCGGTTGCGTAGTCGCCGTCTCGCGCTACAAGGTGACGCACACCGACGCCACTCTGCTCTCGTACGTCGGCAACCTCCGCGTGCTGCGGCAACGACTCGGAGCGCAGTGGGCAGGCTGCCAGCTGTCGCTCCGCGACCGCGAGCTGCGCACTGTCTTCGGGTCGTCGACGCCGGCCGGCGGCGACGGCATCCGCCGGGCTGCCGTCCCCGACGGAGCCGCTGACGGCGACGGGCACACACATATGTGCCGCTCACGTCTAGCACACCACGCCCTGCATGATGCGCTCTTCTCCCCGGGCGGAGAGGCCACCATAGCCACCGCCACTAGCCCTCGCTCTCAGCCGCCACCATCGCATCCGACCATTTCCTCCGTCCCCTTCCCTCCACCCCTCGGCAGCGGCGGCTTTGAAGTGTGCGACGAGGCCATCGACCGCGTGCTCGGCGACGCCTCCGCCCACTCCAACCCGCGCGTGCGCGAGGCGGGCGTCGCCTTTGAGGCCGGCGAGCAGCTGCACCGCGTCCGGTGCGCGTTGAGCGGTGCGGCGGCGGTGCGGCGAGTGCACCCGTCCCCCTCACTCTTGCGCCGCCCAGTGCCGCAGGCGCTGCCACGTCTGCGACACGTGCCGTCCGATGTTAATGTGCACTCCGGCCGTGGAGCCGCCGCTCCGGCCGGAAGGCACGCCGCCCGTTTCGCTCAGCGTGTGGCGCGCGTCGCCTGATGAGCTGGCTTGGCGCCACCTCCGTCGCCTGCTCTACGTGTGCACCGACTGCCGGAAGCACCGGCGCCGCGAGTCGCGCGGCCGCTGCCAGCTCTTCTCGGGTGTGCGCACCGTCCTGCCGGACGACCTCGGGCCGCCCGCAGACGCTATGCGGCACAACGACATGCACCTCCGCGTCGCCCCGTCATGGCTCAAGTGCCTGTCGCAGGTCGAGAGCATGCTGATCGCGCGGATCATCCCCGTGATGCGCATCAGGAGGATGTCGGGAGGCATGCTTTCGTCCGCCGGCAGCTGCACGACGTTACCAAACGACATGTTCAAGGTGGCGCGCGAGCTGCCTCGGCACGCGAGCGAGCTGGGCCTCATCATCCTGCGCAAGGCGGGCGCGCGCCACGACGGTGGGCGCGCTTTCGCGGCGGATAGGCGATCGGTGCAGGGCGCGCTGACCGGCCTCGTGCGCGGCGACCCGCCGGGCGGCTCGCCGCACCGGCCGACCGTCGACAGCTACTTCGTAGACGTGTATGATGTGCGAGCTCTCTACTCCGCATCCGCCGACTGGGAGCGGTACTCCGGCCCCGACCTCCCCTCCGGCGAGCGGCTCAGCGGCCGCTGGTTCCTTCACATCCCCAACCGGTACTACTCCGACGTCGTGATGTCGCAGCAAAGGCGGCAGGCCGTGCCAGAGGAGCGCGCCGAGCTGCCTGGGCTGCCCGTGCACGAGAAGCCGGCGCGCGCCGCCGGCGCGGCCGAGGAGGAGGAGGAGGAGGGCGGTCCCGCCCCGGCGCAGAATGAGCTCCCGCCCGAGGTCGACGGGGACGGCTCGGTGAGCCACTCGGGGCTGGTCTCCCCGATCGACTCCAAGGACGCCGATGCCGAGGTGCCGCCGCGGAGCCTCGCGTGCCCTAGCCCACTCCTTGCTTGCGCCGACGCCACTCGCTTCCGGCCCGCAGGTGCGCCGCCTCGTCCTCGACTTGCTCGACGGTCGGGGCCTCGCGCGAACCCTTTCCACATCCAGCACATCCGGTACGTGCTCGAAGAGTGGGGCGGCAATTCGGACACGCAGCTCGTCCTCGAGGAGAAGTGCGAGGCGCTCGACCGCTATCTCAACGAGTACTGCTGCAAGGGCGCCGCTTCGACCGACGATCTGATCAAGGTCTACGCCGACCTCGCAAAGGCCGCCGACGCAAACTCGAGCGTGCGCGCGCTGGCGCGCTCGCTGCTCCGCCGCGCTGTCGGGATGGTCGACTGGCCGGTGCACTGCTGCGACGTCATCCTCCTCGGCATCCCCCTCGTCCGCTGCACGCGCCGCCACAACTTCTGCGGCCTCAGCGGGTGGCGCATGCTCGACAGAGACGCGACGGACGAGGAGGCGCCGCTCAACCGCAGCTTCAGCAAGGACGAGTCGGGCGCGACGGGCCAGCGCGCCGGGAACGCAGCCTTAGATAAAGAATACAGATCCGTGCATTCCGACTAGCACTCGAGAGCGCACACTGCATTTGGCCGCATCGGCAAAACTCGCAGCCCCGTGAATTCGATGCCCGACTTTGCTCGTCACCGTGAGTGCTCGCGCCCTGACTTTGGTGCAGTGACGATCTAGGCACGCGACGCGCACGGGCGTGCCTCTGCGCGCGGGGTACGCGACGGTCGCGCACAAGACCCAGGGGGGGAGCTTCGGCGACAGCAAGGACGTCGAGTTCATGATCGCGCACGTCGCCAACCACATCTCGATGGAGAAGCTGTTCCTCGGCCTCATTTACACGCTCTTCTCGCGCGTCGAGAAGGACTCGGACTGGGCGCTGGGCGAGGCGATCGACGCCGACCGGATCACGTGCGGGGCTCTGTGTTCCTGGCTCGCGACGCGTGTCGCTTGAGCTCCCCCCCCCCCCCCCCCCGCCTTCCGTCGCAGGTACGTCAACAGCGCGCCCGGCATGGCGAGCCGGCGGTGGGAGGACGCGCGGCTGAAGATGGCGAGCGCGCTCACCGAGCGCAAGTATGCACACCTCAAGAGCTTGGCGGCCTTTGTCCGCCAGCTCAAGGCGTGGGACGAGGCGTGCGCCGACGGCCGCTCGTCGTGCTGGTTCGAGACGGAGGGCGACCTCCCGCGGCTGGCCGGGGAGGCGCTGCTGGCCGAGGCGGCCGCGACGGGCGCGAGGCGGATCGCCTTTGACGCCGTCGCGGCGCGTCTCGAGGCGACCGCGGCGCCGCCGCCGCCTCTCGGCACCGCCTTGGCCGCGTGGCCCACGGGGTGGGGCATCGAGGAGGCGACGGGCAACTTCTGCGGGCTGGCGCACTGGGCTGTGGAGGTGTGGCACGCGGCCGGGTCGGTCGACGCGAGCCGGTGGCAGGTCGAGGCTGACGGAGGGCGCCTCTTCTTTGTGCGGGTCGCGGGAAAGGCCGCATAATCGCGCTCTCCGCCGAGGCCCGCCTCGGCGACGGCGCTCGCCGCGCAGCAGCAGCAGCAGCAGCAGCAGCAGCAGCAGCAGCAGCAGCAGCAGCAGCAGCAGCAGCAGCACGTGATTCTTGACACATGATTACACTACACAGTCCTCCCTTCGGTTGTCGTTTCGAAGCTGTTTTTTTCTTCTATCGCAGCGCACTCGCATCTGTGAGCCTAGCGCAGCGCGAACTCGCCGTCTGAGCCTAGCGCAGCGCGAACTCGCTCTGAGCCTAGCGCAGCGCCTCGGAAAACACCATTTTGGCTCGCCAACAAGCCCTCCGCGCCCCCACACCGTTAGGATAATACTTTTTTTCTTTTGCTTGTGGACGGCTTTGTCGGCACAACGCACGCAAAGAGATGGCCTGCAGACTGCCTCGCTCGGCGAGGCGGCCATGGGGGTTTTCGGCCGCCGCACGGCCTCCCACGCTGCTCCCTCCCACGCTGCTCGCTCGGCAACGGATCGCTCCGCTCCTCTCTGCGCCGCGCGCCTGCTCGAGCGGCACGGCGGCTGGCGCCAACGGCGGCTCAAAGGGTGGGCCGACGCGCGAGATGGTGCGGGAGATGCCGCGGCACATCTCGGAGCTCAGCGGCGAGATGCTCTTCCTCATGACCAAAACACAGGGAGGCTCGCTGATCGCGTCTCGCGAGCGGCTGCGCCGTGACATCATGTGGGTGGACGACGTGGACTATGAGGCGGCGGGCGTGCGCATCGTGGAGATCGCGCGGTACGGGACCGGCGAGTCGGCGCTCCTCAAAGCGCCGTACTACGCCGGCTGGGTCACGGCGCAGGCGGCCGGCTGGGCATCCATCCCGCTCGTCTTTAGCCTCGAGCTCGCGATGAGCTTCAACCGGCACTACGTGATGGCGCCGCTGCCGGACGAGGGCGGCACCGACACGCTCCTCGAGGTCGGCATCTGGACCTGGCAGTGGATGGAGCCGCCCCTCGGCACCTTCTCCTTCTTCCTCCTCTGCGCTCAGTTCGGGGCGCAGCAGCGCGCCAACCTCGGCATCAAGCCGTTCACCGCGCGGCTGCGCTCGCGCAAGGCGAACCAGCTCTGCGCCGCCTTCCCGCAGTACGACCGCTCCATCCTGCGCGACTACGCCAAGGCCATCTGCTTCGACGACGCCGACGCCGACGGCCTCGACAACGAGCCGCTCTGGCTCGAGCGCTCGCGCGCCGCGGGCGGAAGGGACAACGTGAAGACGCCGAGCATGTGAGGGCGAGGGGTGAGGCAGGGGCCATCGGGGCATGGGATGAACGAGAGAGGACAACTTCAAACGTGTGGGACGGTGTGAAACAGCAAAAGCCATAACACGCATCACGGTTCACGCTTCAAAAAAGGTGAAAAAAAGCAACTGGGGTTGCTTCCCCTCCCCCAGAGAGGATTAGTGACTAGTTGCAAATACGGGTGGTGTGAACATGATGAATTTTGATGGTCTTTTGTCCGTGTTGCTCCCAGCGCCCTCGCCCGCGCTCCCTGAGGCCATGGCTGGTGCTACTAGTATGGAGGGCTACCTGGCTACCGCGAGAGCGACCCAACTCGTCGACATCGTCCGATGGTTGTGCCTCAAAGTCAGCCTTCGGAGGCTATCGTGGGGTCGAGCCGGCGGTGGCCGTGACATGTGGTATCACCACCCCTCGTAGGCTTTGCCTCTGACCGCCACCGTTCCCAGGCTGCCTACTCGAGTACCTAGGTGAAGGCGAACGGACGGAAAAACACCCCCCCCCTTTTATGCCTGACCCTGGCCATGGCCTCTCTGGGGGTGAGCTGGGCCGGCCGCCTCCGGGTCCGCCACTCGCACGGTGGGCTCGCGTCCGGGAGAGCATCCGAGACCCGCGGTTGTCCGCTCGCTGGGCGCGACCTACATGGAAATCCACTGCACACAGATCTGTGCTTTTGGCGCCTATTGCTCGCTCTCTGTGCAATCGCAACGCCAGAGGCCGTGCTTGGAGAGTGTGTCGCAGTGCTGCTACGTCAGTGGATTGAGCCGCGACGCAGGCTCCATCGGTGAGCTGCGGCGGCGCACCGGCCGCTCCATGCATGCTCTCCGGCGAGCCGTCGCAAACGCGTTTCCGTCCGCCCGTTTCATCGAGTTTGCCCGAGTGGTAAAATGCAATCGAATCTGCCCGAGTGGTCAAGTAAAACTTTGCCTTTCGTAAAAGTTGCCCGAGTGGTCTGTGGGGAAAAAACGAAAATCGAGACGGACTTCTTGAACGGCCGGGCAACATGTCTTCCTTACTATTATTAATTGATGCTTTTTGCACGGGTGAGCCCCCCCCCCCCCCTCCCCCCGCGCCCGCTCCCTGCCCTCTCCCGCCACGCACTCCGTCAGAGCCCCCTCCCTTTTTGCCAAAAGGGAATTTTTCAAATTAACAAAAGGGGTTTGGGGGGGGCCCCCGGCTTTGGGGGGTAAGAACGCCTTCGGGGGGGCTAAGAGCTTTTGGGGGGGTTTTAATTCCCAGGGGTGTTTTGGGGGGGGTTTTTGCCCTTTTGGGCCCCCCCCCCCCCCCCCCCCCGGGGGTTCCCCCGCCTCAAGCTCCCCCCCCCCCCCCCCTCCCCGCCCCGCCTCCCCCCTTCCCTCTTCCCCCCGTCCGGCCCAGCTCCACCCATCCCTCTCTCGCCATCCCCTGCAGGTGCAGGGGAGATGCGAAACGAAGATCGATGGGCTTGCCCATCCCGGAGTGGTTCGACCCCACGCAAACCCGAGACGGTGACGGGCGCTGTCTCGGTGATCTCAGGCCCAGTGAGGTAGTGCACCAGACCTGTCCCGGATCCTGCTGAACAAGTTCCTCTTGTAGCTCGATCGGTCACACCGCCATCGCCGTTGGGGAGAGAGGGGACGACACTGCTTCGGCAGCGTGCACCTCGATCCTGTACCGTGTTTGTTATGACCCCCCCCAATGAACATACCAGTGAGGGAGGGCGAGACGATCGAGGGGTCCCGTACCACGCGGAATCGGCCCTATCCAGTGCTCAAGTGCTCAAGGTAATGGGGTGTGAAAGGAAGCGCAACCAGCTCAGCCGCAGCATCCTCGGGCTGCCGCACGGCGACACGCGGCGGGAGGCGTGGCTGGCCGTCGACTCGTTCTCGTCCGCGTGGGTGAGCTCATGGCCCTCGGCTCAGAACCGGTGCGAGGCGCGCGAGTTCCGCGAGATCTTCTGCACCTACCTCGGCCGGGAGAGCCCAGCCGTGCGCGCGCTCGTGGGCAAGAGCATCGCCTGCTCCGGCCGCGGCCCTCCTCGAGTCTGCGATGCCTTTGGCGTCCAGCTGGGCTTGGCGACGCTCAACGACCGCGCCCACGGCAACTGCCACGACGACATCTTCTCACGCGTGATCGGTGATGCGCTGCACGCGGGGCTGCGCGGCAAGGAGGAACCGCGCGAGATCTTCAGCGCCGTCATCCCGCCTGTCACACTCAACGGCACCGCTGGCACGCGCGGCAAGAACGGCATCGTGCCGGATGGGCGCCTGCACTGCAAGCTGCGCGAGTCCCGCACGGCGCGCTGCACGGGCACACGAGGCCAGGCGCATCCGTCTGTCCGGTGGCGCGGCACGACAGTGCAGCGCGGGCCCGAGCAGCCGCCGGCGGAGCACCTCCTCGAGGGCAAGACCATCCACCGCGGCGGGCCTCACTACATGAGCGCTCGGGCGCGCGACGATGGCCAGGGCGGCGCTGTCGCCGACAGGGCGAACCTTGTCCAGCGCGACTACGAGGCGCGGGCGGCGGCGCTCGATGCCAAGCCGCACGTGCAGGCATGGAACAACGGCTCGAGGGACGCCGTTTCCTCCGTGCTGCGCTCGTTTGGCACCGTGCGCAGCCTCGTTGTCGGGGCCTACGCGGAGGCGTCGGACGACCTGCACCAGCTGTTCGACTGTGTGGTGGAGTCGGCATCCAAGCAGCACTGGAGGCGGATCGGCGCGCGTAGCGCGAAGGAGGCGCGGTCCTACTTCGCTACGACGCTGCGGCGGGCGTGGGGCGTGCACTTTGCGCGCGAGTTCGCGCGGCACCGCATCCGACGCGTGGTGTTCGTGGGGGCCCCGCGGCGACAGCCGGGCAGGCCTCTCGCGACGGCCGATGGAGACTGGCCAGCGCTGTCGGCGGGCGAGTTTGCGGCGCACGCGCTGCGCGTAGGCGGCGCGTGGGCGGGCGGCCCGCCCGGCCGTCGGTGAGCACCGGACGCGAGGGTCGGTCGGCTCTTAACTAGCTGTATATAGTCGCGATCTGCCGGCGTGCGTATGAGCTCACTAGCTAGAGCTCACACTAGAGGCCGTCATCGCATTCGCCTTCCTGGGACCCAGCGCTGACTTCTGACTGTCGTTGCTGTCTTTCCCCCTTCTCGACTGTCTGTGCTTGTGCGTCTTGGGTCCGGAGTTGTGCGTTTATGTGAAAGGAAGGCTGGGCGAGCGTATAGAAGAGCGTGCTCGACTTTGTCGTGGCAGCCAGCACGGCAGCGCTGGCAGGCGCGATGAGCGTCGTGCCACCTGACCCGAGACGGGGCGCAGGCGTCGTACCGAGCGCGTCGAGACCGTGCCCTGATGCGCTCTGCACGGGTGAGTCACGTCGGCGTCAAAGGAGCGACGTGTGACCTGTCAGAGCTTGATCTCCGATCTCAGCGACGTCGAGTCGCCTTCGGTGGCGACAGCTAGGATGCATCTCCTCCGTCGTTTTTCGCGCGATGGCCTTGAGAAGCTGGCGGTGCACGCACACAGACCTTGTGTGTGCACGGAACGCTTAAAGTGGGCGCCGTACCTCACTTTGTTTGAGTAGATAGTGCCGAGCTGCGTTTCATTTTTTCTCAGACCACGTGCCTCTGCACCTCCGTTCACGTGCACGAGCTTCTTGAGCCACCCACCCACCCACCCACCTCACGGCCCGGCTGAGGCTTGGAACCACCCACTCACCCCACCCACTCACGGTCCGGCTGAGGCTTGGAACCACCCACCCACCCCCAGCACCACCCACCTCACGGCCCGGCTGATGAGGCGAGGAACCGAACCCACCCACACAGACCGACCCACCCCCACCATCCAACCAACCGTCCCGGCCACGGGAGACACAAGCAAGGTAGCAAAGCACCCAGCCTCGCGCGCCTTATACAGCACAGCCTGACCCACAGCCGAGGGTTAGGGTTAGGGTTAGCGTTAGGGTTAGGGTTAGGGTTAGGGTCAGAGAGTTCAAGCCGTTGTGCAGCTCCTAAGAACGGGCCGCTTCGGGTCGGAATGGAGGAACCAGCGGTCCGTTGACGCGAGCTCTCGGTGAATGCTCCGAGTTCTTCGGGTTAGGGTTAGGGTTAGGGTTAGGGTTAGGGTTAGGGTTAGGGTTAGGGTTAGGGGTAGCTTGTTGTCGTCGTGCCGATAAGACAGAGACACGGGCAGCAGACGCGACCCAATCGACGCACCAGAGCATGGTTGGGCGTGTGAGCCGCCATCTTGGACTGTGAGGCGAGCATTTGCCACCGGGAGCTCGCCGCCGCCCCTACACCGCCAAGGCGAGCTTCCTGGCATCTATGCCAAGCGCGCACATGCCAAAAGACGCCTCGCAGCGCGCGTGAGGTGACCGAAGCGGCACGCCTCGGCGCCGCGAGAGCAGCCGGTCGACGTCGGCACCAAGCGCGCGGCCGCCGGGCGCCTCCGAACCGACAGGGGCGCCGCGGCAGTAGAGAGCACTCCACCTGCCATACCGTTGACTGAGGCGCTGTCGTGTCACTAGGCACTGCAGTGTCAAAAATATGCCGTGTTGCCGTCCAGTCGCTCGAGCAGCGACTGGACCAGGCCGGCGCCTCCAGTGGCGGCGGCGACACCGAGCAGTGTCATGTCGGGCAAGCCGTGCCAAATAAAGGTCGCGTCGATAAAACCACCGCTGTCGAGCCAGGCCAGCACCGCCCCTTGGTCGTGCGACTCGGCGGCTGCAAGCACCGCGGCGTCCACCATGGTTTCCAAGTGTTGGGTGGCGTGGGGGGGATCGTCCCAGCGGGGGGCTTAGTGATCGCGTGTCATGCGCCACGTTTGTCCTCGAGGATTCGAACGGTCTCGATGATTGCAGTGGTCCGGGGGAGAAAACTCAGGGCAACGCCGACGCCGCTCTGATTCGACTTTTAATTTCAAACAAAGACAGTGGCACGCGCCGCAGCGCGGTGCATGCCACTGTCAGGAGCGGATCCGTCAGTTCGTCGTGTTCACGCCGGGATCGTGCCCTGACTAACTTGCCTGCGTCGAATTTCTTTTGAGAGCGCCTTCGTTGTTAATAGTACAAACCCACTGGTCCCTTGCGGAGAGATATTTTTAGCAATACCAAGTTTTGTTTTTGTCCCTTGCGAGCGGTCCTTCGT